GCTTTGGGGGCTTGGGGGGCCCCTTTTTCCCCCCCTTTTTTTTTGTGGCGCCCCGCGTTATTTTTTTTTTCCCCCCCCGGTGCCGGAAAATGTTTTTTTAAAAAGGGCGCCCGGGGGGTTTTTTTTTTTTTTAGAAGGAAATTTTTTTTTTGGGGGGAGAAACAAAAAAGGGGGGGTTTTTTGGGGGGGGGCCCCACCAAATTGGGGCCCCAACACACAAACACCCACAAACACACACACCCCCCCCCCCCAAAAAAAGGGGGGCCCCCCCCCCGGGCCCCCCCCCCCCCCCCCGCCCCCCCCTTCGCCTCAGACCGCCCAGCTCGCCAGCAGCTCAGCGTCGGCGACGGGGTCGACGAGCGGCTTGGTGGCGCTCGCCACCATGGCGGAGCCGCACAGCGGGCACTCGGCGACGAGGGCCTCCGCGTCCGCCCTCCCGAGCCGCACGCGCTCGTGGCCGGCCGCGCGCGCCCGCTCGAGGCAGCGCAGCCGGAAGGCGTGCCCGCAGGGGAAGACGACGCAGCGGTGGCCGCCGAGGGCGCCGCCGCCGCAGGTGCGGGCCCGCACGTGGGACGGGAGCTCGGTGCTGTCGCACGGCTGCGACGCGGGCGCCTCGAGGCGGCGCGACCGCAGCTGCTCCGCCTCCTGCCGCAGCTCCTCCGCCTAAGGACATGTCTCGGACATGTCATGGACGTGTCCTGGACATGTCCGCCTCCTGCCGCAGCTCCCCCGCCGCGGCCGCCGCGTCCTCCATCTCGTGCATCAGGTTGCCCAGCTTGCGCGCGCGCTCCTCCGCCGCGGCGCACACGATCTCCCTGAGGTGCTCCATCTGCGTAAAGTCGGGGAAGAGCGGCAGCAGCAAGTCGATCGACAGCTGCGGGCACTCCTCTAGCAGCGAGACCGCCTCGCGCACGCGCACGCGCAGCGCCTCGTCGCCCGGCGGCGCGGCGAAGGCGGCCGCCCCCTCCATCGCCTCCTCCAGCTGCGCGTACTGCGAGTCGGACCGACGGCCGCACAGCACGCGCCGCGCAATCTGCAGCCAGAGCCGCCGCCGGAGCGGGCTGCCGGCCGGGAGCAGGTTGGCGCTCTGCTTGGCGAGACACACCTCGCCGCTGTCGAGCGCGAGCGAGACCGCCTCGGCGCAGTCGCCGCGCAGCTGGTAGAGCCGCACACACGCCGCGCGCCGCCCGTGCCGCTGGCACACCCGCAGCGCGTAGTCGGGCTCGTAGTGCGTCGCGCCGCCAGAGGTGGCCAGCGCGCCGACGCCGACGGCCTCCGCCGCCACCTCGCCGCCTGCCTCGCCGGCGGGCGGCGCGCTTCCCTCGAGGAAAGCGAGGAGTGGCGGGTCGGCCGAGCGGCGCGCGTGCAGCAGCAGCAGGTAGTTGTGCACGTCTCGCTCGCGGCAGCCGGCCGCCGTCGCGCGCGTCAGGTAGCGGATGCCGTGGTGCGGCGGCGAGCCGGCAGCGGAGCCTGCCGCCGCGCCGGCGGCGGCGCGCCGCTCGTCGTAGCGCATCAGCGCGGGGAGGAGGGGGAGCGGGTCGAGGAAGGGCGCGCACAGCCACAGCCCCACCGTCTCTGCCGGCGCCTGCGAGAGCAGCTCCGCGGCAAACTGCTCGACCAGCCGCTGCAGCTCGGCCCGCCGGTCGGCGAGCCGGCCCCGCCCCGGCGCGGGCGCGGCCCTGGGGCGGCCGCCGCTCCCGCCCGCCCCGCCGGTGCCCGCAGCGGCAGCCTCGGGGAAGGCCCGCCCGCCGCCCCCGCCGGCCGCCTCGAGGAGCGAGCGGAGCTGCGCGATGGCGGCGGCGGGCTGCCGCCGCTCGAGGTGCAGCAGCAGCAGCCTCTCGTGGTCGCCGCAGAGCTGCGCGTAGTGCGCGAGCTCGGCGTGTCTGCCTGCAGCCTCGAGCAGCGCGTATGTGGTCGGCCGTGATAGGCGGCGGTGCCTGAGGCGCGCGAGAGACACGTGAGCGAAGAGTGCGTCGGGCGGGCGGCTTGCATCGGCGGACAGCTGGCCGCTCGGAAAGGAAGGCGCGGAACTCCGCCGCGGCCGCCTCCGCCTCGCCACGGCCCGAGCCCTCGAGTCCGCGCGCCCCCTCGAGCCGCTCGAGGAAGAGGGAGGTGAGCCAGGTGCAGAGCAGCGTGCCTGACCCGCCACCGCACCGCACCATCAGAGGGCTGTGCGCGCGACCGCGGCTGGGAGCTGCGGCCGGGGCACGGGCCTTGCATCGCGTGCCGCTCGTCCATCGCGTCGAGCTTGCAAAACAGGTACGTCTGCAGCGCGCCTGCACACGCGGGCGCGCCGGCCGAGCTTCGGAGGAAGGACGGCCCACCCCCGAGAGAGGGGGAGGGGGGCCGGCGGTGGCGCGGCGACGGCGGAGAGGAGGGGGGGAGGGGGGGAGGGCGCGCCCTTCTGGCCGAGGGAGAGGAAGCGGAGCGCAACCTCCTCGACGGATCGGCCGGTCTTTGCAAACTGTCGCGCGGCGAGCGTGTAGGCGCCGCGCGAGAGCTCGTGCTCCGCGTGCTGCGCGAGCACCTGGCCGCGGGGTGGGGTGTGGCGCGCGTGAGGCAGACCCCACCCTCTTCCCTCTCGCTCCCTCGCTCCTCCAGGCACCAAGTCTTCCCTCTTCCCTCTCTCCTCGCTCCTCCAGGCACCAAGTCTTCCCTCTTCCCTCTCTCCTCGCTCCTCCAGGCACCAAGTCGCGCTGCGACGGCGCGCCAGGCGAGCAGCAGGCGAGCGCCGTCTCGAAGTCGCGCGCCTCGAGGTGCAGCCTCCACATGTGGCGCTCCTCGCGGTTGACCGAGACGCGGAGCGTGCCGCCCTCGCCCCACGCCCACAGCCCGCCCTGCGCCGGCTCCCGCACGAGGCCGAGCAGCGGGCCGCAGGCGGCGGGCGGCCGAGCGACGCACATCAGCTCGCCCGAGAGGCGGGAGAGCGCCGCCACGCCGCCGCCGTACAACACGAGCAGGTGCAGCTCCTAGACACGTCCTAGACATTTCCTAGACACTTCCTAGGATTCGTACAACACGAGCAGGTGCAGCTCCGTGAGCGCGAGGGAGAGCGGCGGCCAGCGAAGCGCGGCCGGCGAGGCGGAGCCGGCACCAGAGCTCTGCGCCAGGTCGGCGGCCGGCGGGTACGGCCTCATCTCCTACTCGCGACTCCTGCTCTTTGACAGCTGCCTGCTCGCCAGAGGCGGGGCGCGGGTAGACGGGTACGGCGGGCGGGCACCGAGTCGTAGACACAGGAATCGCGAGGGGCCTGCGCGCCGAAGAGGAGGGAGCCGCAGTACACGCCTCTCGCGGAGAGCCACGCAAAGGCCGAGGGCGGCGAGGCGCCGCTCCCCCGCCCGCCCCCCTCCTGCCCTCTCCGCCGGTCAAAGTCGAGCGAGCTGCCCTTGTGCGGGGGCGGCCACGCCGTGCCGGGCGGAGGGCCCTCAACCTCGACGTGGCCTATGGGGCGGGGGCGGGGGACGCGTCGTGGACGCGTCGTGGGCGGCGGCCCCAGCCACCCGCGACGTGTTGCCCAGGTGCGACAGCTCGCGGTAGCTCGCAAACAGCGCCTGTGCGCACCCGTGCACGCCCTCAGCAGAGGTCTGGCCGGAAGGGGAAGTCTGCTCGCGAGGGGCGGCGGAGAGGGGCGCGCCTCCAGGCTGGCGGGGCCCACAAACTCGTAGTACCTCGTCGGCGTCGCGGCGAGCACAAAGAGCCGCCTGTGGGACGTCACGGACACGTCGCGGACGGGTCGCGCGCCTGTCGCTCGGCGCGAGGAGAGAGAGAGAGGCACTTATCGTCGGGTGCGCCCTGCGAGACGAAGGGCTCCGCCGCGAGGCCGCACAGCGGCGCCGGCGGCGAGAGCGTGAAGAGCTGCCGGTAGCGCGACGTGCGCGTCGGCTCAAGCGCCGCCTCGAAGATAGCGCCCGACGAGGAGCCGAGCAAGACCTCGCGCGTGTCGCTCCTCGACGGGTCGGGTCGCAGCCACGCGACGGCGGTGATGAGCAGCCCGCGCGCCTTGCCGAGCACGCGCGAGCGCGAGCGGTGCACGTAGACCGTGTCGCCGTTTGCGTGCGCGATGAGGACCGACGTCGACGAGTGCGGGTCTGCAAACAGGCCGGCCGGCGTCGCGCTGACGCGGGACAGCTCGAGCACCTCCTCCTCGCCAGTCGCCAGCGTCAGCCGGCGGAGCGATGGCGCGCTGCCACTGCTGCTGCCGCCGCCGCCAGAGGGTGACGTGAGCAGGTAGAGGACGCCGTCGCCGGCGGCCGCAAGGCGCAGCGACTCGGTGGCCGCTGGGCGCCACGCCGGGTCGAGGGCGACGATCGCAGCGGCAGAGGAGTCAGCGGGCATTGAGCGAACGCCGTGGCGATATTGCCGTGGCGGTTAATGTCGAGAATGAAGGGCGAGGGAGCGAAGGAGAGCGGCCGAGTCGCGCCGGGTCGGCCCTGGCGCGTATAGGGACTGCTTTCACACATTGAGCACTTCACGGCACTGGCACTGGATAAGTTCGATTCCGCATGGTACGGGACCCCTCGATCGTTTCGTCCTCCCTCACTGGTGTGTTCAGGGGGGGGGGGGGGGGGTCATTACAGCCTTGTTATTGAATACAACCTCCTATATGGCGCTGTGCGCTCGCTGGTCTGTGAGAGGTTGAGGTGCGAGCCCTGGAGGCCCTGGGGATGGGGGGAGACTACCCGCGGGCCTTCACAGTAGGGTGATAAGACACACAAAAACCTCGCATACGACGACAGTGAGGGTGTGAGAGTCAGACCCACATAAACGCACAAAACAAACAAACAAATTACGTGTGAGTGTTAGAGTTGTTTGGTATTGCTAAAAATCTCTCTCAAAACAACCCCGGGCCCGAAATCACAAAGAGACACCTGCTATTCACAGGTCTTTTCGAAGGCAAACATGGAGAGCGGCCTCCACTTCGGCGAATTTGGGCCGGGCGACCAGGGCGCGTACAGCAAGTTCTACCAGGGCCAGTTCGACGTCGTTCGTGTTCAACTGGAAGCCATTACTGGGGCCACCTTGCCTCCGCAAGGCTCGTGCACTTCCACGGGCCCAAGCCGAACGACGACCTGTCCTACCTGTCCTCAGCCGCGGCCACAACCGTGGTGCGTCGCATCGCTCATGCTCGGCTTCCTAAAGAAGTGCCGCGAGCCGGTGCGGGGCCCCGCGCCCGGCCCAAACGGCCTCCCGCTCGGCGGCGAGGCGGCGCTGCCTCAAGTCTATCGACGGCGAGGCTGCAGCGCCGCCTCCACCCACGCCGTTGCCTTCCTGCAAGAACGTGACCGACAAGCAGAGTTGCACAGCCACTAGCGGATGCAGTTGGAGCAGCAGGAAGGAGAAGTGCAAGGAGGCGGAGGGCAGGCGGAGGGCGTCGGGTGTACCATATTCCTCGGCGAGTGGCAGGTCTGGCGTGCGCGTGACAAGGTCCGCAATTACAGCAGCCAAGGGTGTAGCCGGGGAAGGCGAGCATGTCGAGCGAGCATGTAGTTCTCCCAGGCGTGCGCGAGTGAACTAGATGTGCACACCCTCCCACCCATACCGAGACCGACCCCCCCCCCCCTGCCCCTCGCCCCCTGACGGTGAGTGTACCGGAGCGGCGGCAGGTTAGTGCCAGTGCGCGCCAGTCCCGTGCCCAGTGTCGTGCGAGGGAGCTTTGTTGGAGCACTTGTCACCGTGTTTGTTATGACCCCCCCCAATGAACACACCAGTGAGGGTGGGCGAGACGATCGAGGGGTCCCGTACCATGCGGAACCGACCCTATCCAGTGCTCAAGTGCTAAACTGCAAAATCTTCTTTTCTCCCAGAGCCTGTGTGGTGAGAGAGAGAGTTCTTTTGTCTATATGAGAGAGAGTTGCTTGTTTAAATTCTTTTCTCCCAAGTTTCGCTTCGCGCGCTTACCCTACCAGTGGCCCGAATCTCGCTGGCTCGCTGTTGCGCGTGGCTCGCCGGGCACATGCTTGACGCGGACGCCTCTCCGTACGTCCCGTACGAGCCTCCCTCCTCGCCCCCCGCAGCGCCCCCGCCCGCCCAACAGCCATTCTTCTTCGTCCGTCTCTCGGGCGAGGCCCTCGGCGTCGTGAAGCTAACTGGGACCGAGCGACTTGATGCGCTGCGCGTCAAGGTCCAGCGCGACATGCGCCCAGCGATGGAGAGGCTGGGACCTGGGTGGCATTTCCTCATCCTGGGCGCTCCCATCTACGAGTGCCAGGAGAAGGAGTACACCGCAGAAGAGGTGGCGGTCGCTCGCTCCATCACGCTCGCGGCGAGTTCAGAACCGCTGACTCGCGAGAGCCTGGCGGAGGCTAAAGGGAGGCTGGCGGCCGCTGGGGCCATGCGGTCTAGCAACGCCGCCAACACAGACGAGCAGCAGGCTGGCGGCGCCAAGGCGGAGGAGCCACCAGGACCAGGGCGGGGGCCGCCGCCGCCCAGAACGGCGGTGGTTAGCAGGAGATCGAAGGCGGCGGCGCTCGGAGTGAGCAGCGTCTCGCGCCGACGGACGGGGCCACCACCTCCGCCAACTGGGCAGCCACAAAAGACCTCGTCCGTCGGCCCTCGGTCGCTGCTCCTCCTACTCAACCAGGAGCCTGCCGCGCAGGCCGTGGCCGCTGTGAGAGTCGCGAAGGCAAAGGCACCGCCCGCAGCCGCGGGCCGGTCGCGGCGCAGTCGGCCAAAGAGCCCACCGCCACCTCCGGGGACGCCGGTGTGGCTCAAGGAGGCGGCGCAGGTGTTGAGTGACTCTGGGCAGGTGCCGCCTCTGCCCAGCACGCCGGAGCGCCGCCGGCTGGACCGTGGAAATGCCGAGGAGGCGCCGGCGGGAGGGGAGGTGGCAGAGGAATCCGGCGGCCAGGCCGAGAAGATGACTCGCTCCCTGCCGCCGAAGCGGCTCCCTTACCGCCGTGTGGCGGCGGGACGGGCACCCGGGGCCGAGCTGCAGGTGGGAGGGAGGAGGCACGCAGCAGCAAAGCCAGCGGCCCAAACGCGAAGCGGTTAAACGCGGGCAGGCAGCCCGACACTGTCCGTGTCTTTTCGATGGGTTGACTCTCTCATATGCTTATTTGCAGACCAGTACAAGTATCTCGCTACACCACGCCTTCGGCTCCACCTCCACACCCCCCGCCCCCGCGCGCGCGCACGACACATGCCCCTACATGCACATGCACATGCACATGACATGCGCATGCACATGTGCATGTGTGCGAGTTGTGTGTATCGGATCGTGTATGTGTGAAGATGTGTGCAAGTGTGCGCTGCCACCTGCTGGTGCTGCATGCAACTCGACGTCTCGCGAGGCAGAGCGGAGCGCGGGGTCTCTGGCCGCCTGGCCTGAGCTCGACGAGCGGCAGGAGGGCGCGGGACACTACTCACTAGTTTCACTAGCACACTCTCAAAGCATACACCGACACTCCACAGATTCCTGATCTACGGCTCTGATTTAGGAGCACTATGTCAAAACTACAGGGGTAGGCAATGAAACGGAGCTTTGCGCCCTTTCCCACCCGCCGGGGGGGCACCCAGGCCGGCCACCTGATCGGTAGTGGTGGACGGGAGGCGCGAACAGCGCCATCTTGGGGTCTACACGCCGACCAGTGCTCCCGTCAGTGACCAGGAAGAGGGGCTGCGTGGCCTTCTCAGCCGCCGGCCGCGCGTCCGTGTGGTCTACAGTTAACGAACCAAAAGCCCTGCTTCCGTTTTAACACAAATTGGGTGGCGAACTCGGCGCCCATAGCTCTGGCTCGAGTTTTAGCTATTATGTCGCGAAACGCATTAGCCGCTACATCGAAATTGCCGAGGAAGCCGAAATCACAGCTTCCGCTGTAGCGGCTAATGCGTTCTCCGAGGTCATGATCGTGGGCGGAAAACGAACCGGCACCCCGGCGGGGCACCTTACGGGCTGTGTTAAAACGAGAGCTCAGGTCCCGACTTCACAGTGGGCCGCAGGAAAAGACACGCGACGAACCCGCACCGATCGTGCTGCCGGAGCTAGCTTTGAGGCGCCTTCAAAGCAGGTCGCAATGGCGCCGAAGAAGAAGCCTGCACACGGCCGCAAGGCCAAGGGCGTCATGCAAGGCGCTCATCGTCCTCCAAAGGAGGTCTCTGGTGCAGCCGGCTCGCGCGGTCCGTCTGAGCCCTCGTCACGATCGGAAGCACCACACTACGAGGCTGTCGGCGGCGAGTGGGTGGTGTGCCAAAAGCAGGCGCGCAGTCAGCGAGCTGAAGCCGTTCAAAAGGCCTCTCGCGCGTCTACCGTCCAAAAGGCGCGGCAGCCCGCCGCAGCCGCCGCCTCCAAGGCTGGGCAGACCGCCTCCGCTTGCGTTCGCCAACCCGGCTACGGCAAAGGTCGGTCACCCGCGACCGCCACAGGCGCCAGGACGGCGCAGCGGCCTCGCCTTGAGGACTCGCAGCTGACTAGCGCCGCTGGCGTCGCGACGGGTAGCCTCAGCGTGCAGCTGGCGGAGGCTGCGGCCGCAGACGCACTCGAGGCCCTCGAGACCGGTGTGCAGACTAGGCAATCTGCGTTGGCGAGGTCGCAGCTGCTGCGAGCGCAGCGGGCGGAGATTGAGACTGCGCTCGCCAATCTGCGCGAGCTCTGGCAGGAGAAGGAGCGCGACATGCTGCGCCTGCTCTCCAACCCGCAGGCTGCGTGGGGCACAGATGCCGTCTGGCAGCTGTCCATGGCCGAGTTTGCCTTGGAGACCATGGACGAGAACGCCGTCGCACTCAAGCCTCGCCGGCTAGGAATGTGCTTTCGCGCGCTTGCCGAGCAGGCGCGGCACCCCGACGAGATCCCGCGCCTCCGCGGGCTGTACGAGCTGCACGCCCTCCACGCGGTGCTGCAGCGCAGCCCCAGCCTCCAGCGCGAGCTGCGGGTCCAGCTCGAGCGCTTTAAGCGACAATACTGCTCGTTGCTGCGCGGCGCCGGACGCTTTCGCACGCTCGAGGTCCTGCCCGGCGAGACGATCCTCGAGCTTATGCGGCGCACTCACGTGGCCATGCTCTCGTGGCGGCCTCCCGGCAGACCCGGCGCGGCGGCGTCGACCCTGGCGCTGCCCGCGAGCCGAGCGGGGGGTATCTACCTCCCAGAATGGCGAGAGGAGACGAACGTGCTCTACCATTCGGCGGCGGGTAAGACCCTCTCGCTGCGTGGCGCGCAGGGCGTCGCCACGGCCTGCTCGAAGCGGTACCTGAAGTCGCTCCCGGAGGCGGAGCGGCCGCAGCACGAGAGCCACGAGACGGTCCGCTTGCACGACATGCAGTTCTGGTTCGTGCAGCGCCAGAGAGCTGTGGAGAACTCCTTCTCGAAGCGGCGAAACGTGCTGCAGTGGGACGAGGTGACG